GGCTAATCTTTTTGTAGCCGACGACATCTCACGAATAAGCACAGCAACCATATCTTAAGTAAACAAACACTGTCTAGACTATGTTTTAACCTAACTTCACAGAAGATCATGATGTAAATAGTAGCTGAAGTACTGGGCAAGCAACAGAGTTTGCAGAAGATAATTTTTGTTATGTGCTGCAAAATTTGTTTCGTTTCATCAAGTCTCGGTAACGCAGTACTTTGGGCATCACAATATTTTGAAAATTATAAGATCTCTCCCGTAAATCTTATTTAAAAAGGCTTAAAATGGAAAAAATTGTCTTTTCCACTTCCGCAACTTCAAATTTCAATTGCCAAAAACTTCCTGCAGCTAATTCCGTCCAAACAGCGGCTAGCTCTGGGAAAAAGCAGAAATTAGCCAAGCTCCTTAAGTCATGTTTACACAATTTTGTTTATTGGGAATTAGGCTGGAAAAAGGACAACAAGATTAGGTGTCCCAATTACAGTAGCTGTACATGTGATTATTTGAACGTGAATGGACATTTGTTGATTCAGCTTTACAATTCACCTATCTGTATCAGTATTGCCATACTTAAAAGTATTCGTGAGCATCATTTCCTTCTTCTTTTTTTATCAATCAACTAAGTTACCTGATCCAGATACGCCGTAAAACAATGGCCGTACGCCAAGTGGATCGCGTCCAATGTAAATGTTGTTCTCGTCGGCCATAACAAATGCGAACACTCCGTCTAAACTTGCACAAGCTTCACGAAGATCATAACCTGAAAAGAATAGAAACCATCTTCATTCAGTATGTCTTTCAAAGCTCAATTACCTGCATTTACGAAAGCATGAATGATTGCCGCACAATCGCTTCCGTCGTTTTTCAATTTTAGATTGGATGTGACCTAAGAGGTAAGCTTTGTGTAGAATCGAGGAAATTGTGGAAGACTTCCTCCTTAGTGTTGTTTGACATTGTTGTAAAGATGTTTACAGTTACTTTTGTTTGCTTGATTACAAAATCTACGATGTTCTGCCTGGTCTTCCACAGCTACACGGAGTAACTCTGTCTACTGTCTTACTTTTAGTGTTGCACTATGTTCGAGCTTTACCAGGTTCCATAATGTCTGTATATGTTTGCTTCCAGTTACTTTGATTGATCATTAAAATGCTAGCTTAGAGTCAACATTCAAATCATAAAAATTCACAAATTTCTTGATTATCAGTATTGAAATAAAATGGATTGCGCTCAACGAGCACTTGTTATAAATGTTTAATTACAAAGCATGAAGAAAAACTGGAATAATATATAACCTTACTTTTATAGTCTTGTGATTATAGATCTCTCCATTGCATACAACAGCCAGACCATTTCCAACAATTGGCTGCTCACTTGGTGTGTCACCAGGCTGGAAGACTTATTTAAGAACTTTTGAGAGTGAAAGGTGAGAAGCAATTTTAGCTTCTTATGCAATCTATAATGATGGCAATTGAA